GCTAGTGCCGTGACATGCAGCCTGTTTCTCAAAGGGCTGGTTCCAAGAGCCACGTAACTCTCAGAGTTACGGGAAACTCATACCATTATCTTGAAAAATAAGGGAAATCACGAGCTCTGGTGGTTGTAACGAGACAACAGGTTAGTAACGTGGTCCCTGAGTACACTGGAAAAAACTTAGAATGCAATCACTAAAAATATTGCAGTGTTTAAGTCTATCTTCTGATCTGGGCAGTGAAGAGAATATTTTTTGAATGCATAGGACTGGAAAAACCATGAAAATGGAGAAAAATATATAAAGGAATTCGTATGTTTTGTGTTTAACTCTGCTATACCCAAAATACAGATAGAAAGCACAATATGCTTTTATTTGTGAATCACTTTTTCAGAGGAACAAAATTTCGCAATAGTTATTCAAGGCAAAATCATTGGAACTTGTTTCAGCAGTTGGGTAAACAAAAGTGAATAGATTGTAGATGAGCTACATTATAACCATAGCACATAACGATAGCTGGACGAGATGCATCTCCCTTTTTCTTCTGTCGCTCAGCTGCCAGTGGTTGCAGTGACTGGTATTTATACCTAACACAGAGATTTACAGACCAGATTTCTTTAATACTCAGTTCTCAGAATGCAAGTAGGAATTTTAGGTGAGAACCATTCTCTGCAGCGTTACTTGAGTGCAGTTAGTCACATAAACGCTTTTTAATAGGGGGGCAATTGGCCTCTGAGAATTAGCTGCGCTGGCTGTCAGATTAGCTGGGATTACATGGGGATCAAACGCTTCTTATTTCTTCTAGGCCTGATTCTGATCTGTCAGATAGAAATTAGTACTGAAATAGTTACTGTTTCTTATTTCTTCTAGGCCTAATTCTGATCTGTCAGATAGATAGAAATTAGTACTGAAATAGTTACTGATTTGATCAAGGAGAAATTAAGAAAAAAAAAATCCATTTCTGTCAGTGCAGATCATTACTCTAGCAGCAATGGTAGTAGGAAACACCACCTGGTAGGAAAATGCCTCCCAGGGATCTCTCAGAAAAACATTTTTTTCTCCCAGAGAAAAACACTTAAGAAGCGGTATCCACAATCTAAATGCTATAAACTCACCATATAATAAACAAAACAATTGAAAAGCTAAGGATTTGGGGGAGATTAACAATTATCTATCAAAGCTGCAGAGATTTGTGTGTGTCATGTTGGATCTTTCTAAGGAAAGTTATAGCATCTTAACTTTCAACTGCAAGATCAAATGTGGGGGCTTACAAAAGCCTTTCTTTGCTTCGTCCTTCCCTGGAAGAGACTGGCTCCGGACACTGCTTTCCATTGCAGCTGGAAAGTCCACCCGGGAAGAGCTTCCCTTTGCCACCTCTGGACTTCACGGGGCAGGGAGAGAAGCAGAACACTCTGCCCTGCAGCTTGGCTGGCCCTCCGGTTACTGTGGCCTACAGCAAAACACAGGAGAGAGAGCTGCAAACTTCACCCTATATTGTACATTTTTCTAAAGTAAAATCCATGAAATACATACACACAAATGCAGATGCAGAGTGTATGTATTTGGCTTATAAAAAGACATCCTTTCAGGCTGCACTATAGCTAGAATATTCTAAAAAAGGGGAAAAAAATACATGAACACATTCCTGAAAAGCTTAGTGCAGCACAGAGACGCACTGTTGCCTTCAGTGATGTGCTTTTTGTGACTGGGCTCTCACTTCAAAACCCTCTGCATTTTATCCACTCTGAGTTGAACTGTCATCTTGGGAGAGGCCTAGCAATTGCAAACTTGTCAACAGACCAGTTCCCTTGCCAATCTTTACCAGCCTTGTTTTGAAGCCTAAAAGCAGCATTTGTAGTGGGAGATGAGGGCAGGAGCTCATAGGTAGAAAGCAAAACTGCTGGGGAGAAGTTGCTTGCTTCAATCAAGAAGTGCTGGAGAGGAACATGGGCCAGCAAACACCAAGGGCTTTTCTTCTACCTTCTTTAGTGGAAGTGCTTAAGAAGTCCACACGGGGGCTCACTGGATTGCGGCTAGGCAAAAATCCTGCCAT